CTATCTAAAGTAAAATTGATAGAGTTAGGATAGGAGATATAAATTGTAATTTTGATCTAGGATAGTAAACTAACGACCTATTGTCCACCGATCAAAATTTTGGCGCCGTTGCCGGGGAAGCGGCTTGTTTTGCACTTTTAATTTGCGTTATTATTGGATTTGTTGCTTTTTACTTTTTTCTTTTTCCACTTGCTAGTCATTGCTAATAGTTTTCTTAGCTTTGGTGGATGCAAAGAAGATCTTAGGGACCTCTTACTCACTTCATTGAACCCGAAATCGACCGCACTTTGAGACAAGTTCGGAGACTTTATCAGGAAGAGTGGCGAGGTTTTGGTGCTATTTTTAACAGTGAGAGTGATTCTTGGTCTTCAAGCTCTCAAAGCGAAGAAATGGCGAGGCAAGAGAATGATATTTTGTTTCGTGAGTTCGGTAATCCTGAGGATTACGAACTCACCGGAGGGATATTGCTACCCGTCACGGAAACCTACTTCACCATTCATCCTCAATACACTAGAATGGTTCAAGCGGAGCAATTTTCGGGTTCTCCAAGTGAAGATCTAATTGAGCACCTTGATAGATTCCTCGAGCTTTGTGCTATGATTCAAACCAACCAAGTTTCTCAAGAATACATCCGAATGCATCTATTCGTCAATCTCTTGAGGGAAAATCAAAGAAGTGGCTCAAGCAAGTCAAGCCTAATTCTCTCACGACATGGAGGGAGATTGTCCAAGCATTCTTAAAAAGGTTCATTTCCGAAGAGAAGACCGCCGAGATGAGGAGGAAGATTGCATCATTTGAACAAGAGGCGGATGAAAGCCTTAGTGAAGCTTGGGAAAGGTTCAAAGAGTTGGTACAAGCATGTCCTCACCATGAATACAACCAAAGCTTACTCATGAGGTTCTTCTATGATGGCTTGGAACCGATGTCTAGAGCTAACTTGGATGCGGGGGCGGGTGGAAAATTGATCAAAGTCCCTCAGTATCAAGTCGAAGCAACAATTGAAGAGGTAGTGAAGAACTACTCTTGGGGTGGTAGAAGGAGGAATGCACCGAAGAAAGGTGGGAAGTATGAATTGGAGAAAGTTGATCAATTGCAACATCAAATTGAGCTTTTGACAAAAGGGCTTGCAAAGTTGAATACTAGTGTCAATAGTGGGGCAAGCTCCTCCCAAGTCAACTGTTTCTCTTGTCAAAATTGTGGTGGCACCAACCACGATACATCTTATTGTGGAGGTTTGAGCCCGGAGCATGTAGCGGCTTATAACACAAAGCAAGACGGATATTGGGGAGGTGGCGGTGGAGTAGCTTGGAGACAACCACCACCCGGATTTGCAACCCAACCTCAACCATGGAATCAACAAGCCATACAACTCCAACCTCCAATATCAAAACCCACCTCCATTCCAAACCCAAAACCAAAGAGGAAACTACCCAAGAAACAACCAACACAATAATCAACACCACTACCACAATCAAAGTTAAACGACTCAAAGGAGTCAAGAGCAAGCATCTCAACGCGATTCTACTCAAACCCAAATTCTTCAACAACTTCAAGCCATGAATCAACAAATGAAAGAGGTCAAGGCTCACAACAAGATGGTTGATTCACAACTAGCTTAATTTTCCGAGAGGGTTCCTTTCAACTCATCTTCTACTTTACCCGTACAATCACAAACCAACCCTTCTAACATCGTGAAACCCGACTCTTGCAAGGAAATACCATTGAGATCGGGCACATACTATGAAGGTCCCAAGGAGGGGGATGGCAAGGAAAAGAAGGAAAGAGAAGAGAAGATGAGTGAAGATAAAGAAGTTGAAGAAGAGAAGGTTGATGAGAAAGGGAGAAGTATGAAGAAAAAGAAGTCTAAGGATGTGGCGACATCCTCAACTTCTAGTGAGACTAGAAATCTTGATGGAACGGTTCCTTTTCCCGGTTGGCTTGCGGAGAGAAAATTGAATGACAAATTTGTAAAGTTTATAAGTGTGATGAAAAACTTACACATTAACCTCCCTTTCATTGAGGTTGTCGCACAAATGCCTTCATACTCCAAGTTCTTGAAAGACATTCTCACCAACAAGAGGAAGCTTAATGATGAGCTTATCACTCTTCCCCATCAAGTGAGTGCACTCGTTCAACACGAAATGCCCAAGAAGCAAAAGGATCCGGGAAGCTTCACCTTGCCGGTCAAGATTGGGAACATGGAAGCTAGGGGTGCCTTAGCCGACCTTGGAGCAAGTGTTAGTTTGATCCCTTTATCCATTGCTCAAAAGATTAACATTAAGATGATCCCCACAAGGAAAACCATTCAATTGGCCGATTGTTCGGTGAAGCTACCTTGTGGTGAGCTTGAAGATGTCCCTATTCAAGTTGGGCATATCTATGTGCCTTGTGAATTTGTAGTGATGGATATGGAAGAAGATGTGGATACACCTTTGATTTTGGGTCGTGAAGCTCTTAAGACCTTGGGGGCGGTAATCAATTGCAAGAACAATACCATTACATGTGAAGTAGCCGATGAAAAAATTGTCTTTGAATTCTCTAAGCTACTAAAGACCCCATGGTTGAGAAGTGATATAGGGTTGATGTTGTGAATGAAGAACTAGATCATTTGGGAAGGGTTATGATGAGTCCTCAAGACCCAATGGTTGAAACTCTCACATGTGAGGAAGAGTACTTCTCTTAAGAAGCAAAGGAGTTTGTCATGGCCATTGACGAAGCCAAAGAGGAGGAAGTGAATGATTCTAAGCATGATGAGCTAGAACTTGAGGAGGAAAAATTGGAGGAGAGTTCTAAGCCTCCTCCCAAGGTAGAACTCAAACCCCTTCCCCCTTCTTTGAAATATGCCTATCTTGGAAATGAAGGGGAATACCCTATTATTGTCAATGCTTCCCTTAATGGTCTTGATTTGGAAAAATTGCTTGTTGTTTTGAGAAAATATAGAAATGTGATAGGGTAGAGCATTGATGATATCAAGGGTATTAGCCCTTCTTTATGCATGCATCGAATTCACTTTGAGGATGATCAATCTGCCTCCATTGAGTCTCAACGGAGGTTGAACCCCAACCTCCAAGAGGTTGTCAAGAAAGAAATTTTGAAATTGTGTGAAGCGGGTATAATCTATGCTATCTCCAATAGCAAGTGGGTTAGCCCGGTTCACGTGGTCCCAAAAAAGGGTGGAATGACCATTGTCAAGGGAGAAGGAGGAGAGGAAATCTCCACCCGGACGGTGACCGGTTGGAGGATGTGCATTGATTTTAGGAAGTTGAACAAAAACACTAAGAAAGATCATTTTCCTCTCCCCTTCATGGACCAAATGTTGGAAAGACTCTCCTATCATGCTTTCTTTTGCTTCTTGGATGAATATTCCGGCTTTTTCCAAATTCCTATCCATCCAAGTGATCAAGAGAAAACTACTTTTACATGTCCATATGGGACATTTACATACCGAAGAATGCCTTTTGGGTTATGCAATTCCCCATCAACTTTCCAACGATGCATGACCTACATTTTTTCTGAAATGCTTGAGAATGAGATTGAAGTTTTTATGGATGATTTTAGTGTTGGTGGCTCGTCTTTTGACACACGTCTTATTAACCTTGAAAAAGTCTTGAAAAGGTGTCAAGAGACGAGTTTAGTGTTGAATTGGGAAAAATTCCATTTTAAGGACGAGGAAGGTATTGTCCTAGGCCATAATGTATTAAAAAAGGGCATTGAAGTTGACTCGGCTAAGGTTTCGGTGATTGCTAAGTTGCCCCCTCCTACCTCCGTTACAAGAGTGAGAGCTTTTCTAGGGCATGCCGGTTTTTACCGGAGGTTTATCAAAAAAATTTCATCAATCGCCAAACCCTTAACCGAGTTACTCAAAAAGGATGTTATGTTCAATTTTGATGAGGCTTGCCTTGAGGCATTCCAAAAGCTCAAGGAAGCCCTCATCTCCTCTCCTGTTGTGCAAGCTCCGGATTGGAGCTTGCCTTTTGAGCTAATGTGCGATGCAAGTGACTTTGCAGTAGGTGCGGTGCTTGGTCAAAAGAAAGATGGAAGATCCCATGTCATCTACTACGCAAGTAGAACGCTCGATGAAGCTCAAAAGAACTACACTACAACGGAGAAGGAAATGCTAGCAGTCGTGTTTGCCATGGATAAGTTCCGGTCTTACCTCATATGCTCAAAGGTGATAGTCTACACGGATCACATAGCGGTCCGCTATCTTATGACCAAAAAGGAAGCGAAACCGCATCTCATCCGTTGGGTTCTTTCGCTACAAGACTTTGACATGGAGATGAGGGATAAAAAGGGAATGGAAAATTATGTGGCGGATCATCTATCTAGACTTCCTTTTGAGAATAAGGAGGATGTGTTTATCAATGAAGAGGTGGGGTTTGAGACCCTCATGGCTATGGCGTCAACATTAAGCCCTTGGTATGCGGACATTGCATATTATCTAGCATGTGGAGTCGTTCCCCGGAATTCTCCTCTCAACAAAGGAAAAGATTTTTCAAGGAAGTGAGGAGGTACTTTTGGAATGACCCTTATTTATTTAAGCAATGTGGAGATGGCCTCTTTCGAAAATGTGTTCCGGATCATGAGATAGAAGGAGTTCTTGAACATTGCCACTCATTTCCATGTGGAGGGAATGGAGGAGTTAAAAAGATTGTGGCAAAGATCTCCCAATCTCTTCTTTGGTGGCCAACATTGCATAAGGATGCCCACAAATTTGTTTCACGGTGTGACAAATGCTAAAGAAGTGGTGGTATAACCAAAAGGGATGAAATGCCTCAACAAAACATTTTGGAGGTCGAGCCATTCGATGTTTGGGGTGTCGACTTCATGGGGCCTTTTGTCTCTTCTTGTGGAAATCTTTATATCTTGGTGGCGGTGGACTATGTGACCAAGTGGATTGAAGCTATACCATCCCCCACCAATGACCATAAAAGTGGTGCTCAAGCTTCTCAAAAAAGTCATATTTCCACGATTTGGGGTTCCTAGAGTGCTAATCAGTGATGGTGGTTCTCATTTTGCCAAGAAGCAATTCGAAGCTCCTCAAAAGGTACGGGGTTCATCACAAGGTTGGTCTCCCTTACCACCCTCAAACTCAAAGACAAGTGGAAGTGTCCAATAGAGAGATCAAAAACCTTCTTGAGAGGATGGTGAGAAAGTCTAGAAAATATTGGCCTCTCAAGCTCGATGACACGCTTTGGGCTCTTAGGACGGCATACAAAACCCCCATTGGCACAACCCCCTACCGGTTGGTCTATGGGAAGGCTTGTCACTTGCCGGTTGAGTTGGAATACAAGGCTTTGTGGGCGATCAAAGAGCTCAACATGGACATGTCCTTGGCGGGTGAGAAAAGATTGCTTAAGCTCAATGAACTTCAGGAGCTCCGGTACGATGCATACGAGAACTCGAGGCTCTACAAGGAGAGGACTAAGAGATGGCACGGCCGACATATAAGGAACAAGAGCTTCAAGGTTGGAGACAAGGTGTTGTTATTCAACTCTAGGCGTCGGTTGTTTCCCGAAAAACTAAAATCCAAGTGGTCGGGGCCTTTAACAATTTCGAGGACTACTCCTTACGGGTCTTTTGAGTTAGAAGCGGAGGGGAACAAGTTCATGGTTAACGGCCACCGTTTGAAGCTCTACCATTGCAATGATCAAGTTGGCATGATTGAGTGCATGAGGCACGATCCATCGGATCCTAAGCCGCTTATTTGATGATGATGCAATATGGTTAAGCTAATGACCTTATAAAGAAGCGCTTCTCGGGAGGCAACCCGAGTCCTCAACTCTTTTGATTTTGTGTTTCTTGTGTTTGATTACTTTTGGACGATTTTTCTTTAATCTCTTATTGTGTGTGTGTGTTTGTTCTTCCATCAAGTACTTGGATCTTTGGAATTTTGATCTATTATGTTGAGTTTGGAGAGGAGAAGGAGAATGGAAAAATTGAAAGTGGAGATGCCAGGAGAAACCCTGGAGAGGGCGCGCACAGGAAACCCGCTGGCGCGGCCCATAGGCCCGCGGGCGCGGGCAGTCCCCCTTCAGTTTTTCAAAGAGAGTGGAGATGACTAGGACATGGCTGAGAGAGGGCGCAGACTGGAAACCCGCGGGCGCGGACAGTCACCTCCGCGGGCGCGCATTCCAGACCCGCGGGCGCGGCAGGCAACAGTTTAGAACATCAGAAACTTGAGATGCCAGGTCCGCGGGCGCAGCATATACCCCTGCTGGCGCGGACAGTCACCTCCGTGGGCGCGGCATATACCCCCGCGGGCACGGCCCTGCAGGTCTGCGATTTCTAATTCGATTTTCAGCCATATGCCCGAAACATTTTACACCCCAAAACTGAATTTTTCCCCTCTTTCTCTCTCTACTCCTCACTCCATTCCAAACCCTAACCAATTCTACCTCAATTTCTCTTCCCAAATCATCAAACTCCATCAAATTTCAACAATTTCCCTCATTTTTCTTCACTTTTTCTCAACAAAATATGATTTTTCACTCTCAGAAACCCCAAATTCTCGGTACTTTCTCTTGTGTGGGATTTGCTTCCTCTATTAAAGGGTTCTTGGAGGTGGGATTCATTGCTTCTTCAAAGGCTAGTAAGAGTACTTGTTTGAACTCATTATTGATATAAATTTCTCCCTTACTCTGTATTTCCTTTGAATTTGAAGTATATTGTTGATTGAGAAAATTTCATGTTTGTGATTTTTCATGTTGGAATTATTGATGTTTGGACTCCTATTTTGTATTCATCTATTATATTATTGAAGTATGTTGTTGTTGTTGTTTGAGAAAATTTCATGCTTGTGATTTTGATCATTATTGATTTTGGAGTTGTTGTTTGTGGTAGTTGTCTCTTGGTATAGATTGTTTGATTGTGGGTTGTTCTCGGTGACTTTTGGAAGTTTGTTGTGGGTGTATTTCTTGGTGCTTGTAATTTGTGTGAGTAAAAATGGTTTTTTGTCAAAGAAAAGAAAGAGTGGGAAAGAACTTCAAGGTTCATCCTCCTCAAACCCCCAACAAAACAAGAAAACACAAACCGCTCCACCACCTCTACCACCCCTCAAATTCCACAATAAAAACCATAAACCCATCTTTGACAACTTGCAAAACCGCAAATTGAGACCGACCAAGCACTACCACCATCCCACCACCACCAAGCTTAGCATCGACGAGGATTGTTGGTTCTTGTTCAACAACCTCGGGCTAGGTTCCTTTGTGTCAAGTGCATATCGAACCTACAAAGAGCCTACCCTAGAGTTTCTTGCTTCTTTAGAATGCCATGCCGCAGGGGATAATGATCTCTTCATCTCCTTCCAACTCTTTAACAAAAAAGAAACCTTCACCCTCCGCCAGTTTAACCAACTACTTGACTTCAACCCCGATGCCGATATGTTCTTCCCAGAGCATGCAGGCCTCCATGCTTATGAGCCCCTTCATTCGTGGAAAGTCATCACCAGGATGGACGCCTTCAACTCCAAGTATTCCCTAGCTAGCCAAATCATGCACCCGGCCATCAGACTTTTGCATCGAATTCTCGGGTACATGGTCTTCAACAAGCAAGATTTGGGGAAAATTACCACCGACGAAATCCAAATTCTATGGCTTGCTACGCAGCCGGAGATTGGGCACAGGATGAACTTCGGGTTTCTATTCACTAAATGCATTGAAGGTGTCATCTCGGGCACAAGGAAGGGTGAAATTCATTTTGGGGGGATGGTCACTTGGATAGCCGAGAAGTTGGGGCATTTGGATAAGCTGGAATCTTGCACCCCCGTGGGGAAGAGTGATGGGAGTGATATATGGCTCGACCTCGATCAAATAAAGACTATGAAATTCATCGCTGATACTGAGGATCGAGGACGGACTTGGAGCTTACTTGTCTCCCATAAACACCATTGTTTCCTTCCCAATCCGGAATTCACCTCCTTCACGAGGGAAGGGGTAAATTACCCGTGGTGGGTAAAAAAGGACTCGGGTGTCCTTCCTAGAGCAAGAATGGTTATGGGTGAAGGGTCCGGTCGAAGCCATGAAAGTGCGGAGGATGAGTTCGAACAACAACAACAACAGCAACAACAACAACAAGGAAGAAGGGAACAACAACAACATCATCAACCCGACTACCAACAACAAATGGAGGCAATGAGAGCCCAAATGGAAAGCATGCAACTTGGCATGCAAGGTATGTTTGCTTCCCACCAACACCTTTCTTACCAAACCAACGCTTTGTATGATTTGAGTGTACGTAGAGGGGATGTCACCCCCCCGGTAAACTACCCATATGTGTCGGCCCAACAAGGGTCCGTGCCATCTTGGGGGGGTGACAACCAACCTATGTACCCCTATTGGCAGGGGCCCTCGGACCTTATTGTACCTAGGCGTGATTTCCCTGATGAGTTCGGTCATTATGATTACCGGGTTTCGGGTGGGAGTGATTACAGGCGGGATCCTAACTACCCCTATGTCGATCCCTCTCACCCCGCACCCTTTGACCAACCCGAGCCATATGACCAGTTATCCGCATCCCAACTTGACCTCTTCAAAGGTCATTACGGGTGGCCACCTGGCTACTCCGGAGGTTGGGACCCCTATGGGCCCCCCTCGGGTTTCTCTTATGACAGTGGGAATGCGGATAACGATGGTGTCGGCCCTAGTGGCCATTAGTTTCCCCCTTGTGCTTTTTGTTCCCTCCCTTTGTTGTCCCTCCCCTTTATTACATGTCCTCGTGCCGCATCGAGGACGATGCTTTACTCTAGTGTGGGGGGGTGTTTGAGTCAAAGGAGAGTGTTAAGGAATGCTTTAGGTAAGTGTGGGGGAAAAGCACCTAGGACTCAAGGGACTATTTAGGGGTTTTGGGTTTAGTTGTTGTTGGTAGCGTTGTTGTTGTTTGGTGTCTATGATGTCCATTTCCGTGATGATGATGATATGATGATGATGATTTCTTGATGATGGTATGTTTGGGTAGTATGTCATACCCAAAGAATTGAGTTCATGGATTTTCTTTCTCTCTCTAGTACTAACTTTCTTTTCTTTGTGGTGCTTGCCTTGTTTTTCTTTGTTTTTCTCTCTCTTGTAGCTTGGAAGAAATTGCAAGCGACAAGTGGAGACACGGTAAATTGCATGGTTGCTCTATTCTTTCTTCAAGAGACATGGGTGAGATCTTTCCTTTACTCTTTTTTTCCTTCTCGTGTTGTGCTTAGTTTAGGATTTAGCTTAGGAAGGAGTTGAATGGTTCGAGGATGTTTGCATGCGGTTCCAAGGAACCTAGGATCGTTGGTATTGAGACCGAACGATCACTTGTATGTCGATTGGGATTTATTTGAATCTTTAAGCCTCTTATATGAACCTTCTTGATTCCTTCTTTCTTTTGTTCTACTTTCTTTTGTGTGATAAGCGTAATTATGGCATGATGATATGCTTGTATTTTGGAACTTGCTTGCTACATTTGGAATCTATCTCCGTGATGACGCATCCTAGAATGTTTGTCCTTTTTCTTAACTATTTGATGAGATGCACATTTCGAGATTGTTGTTGATTGAATTAGACGAGCCTTAGTTAAGGTAGCAAGGGTAAGAACTTGTGAGGGCGTTTGAACCCCTAGTTCATGGGATGTGGTAAGATGGAGTTACTCCCCATAGTGGATTTGAAGCCCTCTAGTTGGTATTTGCATACTTTTCTCGTCCCTTGTGAGGTTAAATTTGTTCAAGCCTTCATCAATTTGTTGAGCGGCATGTTAGGATCCTCGACTATGCATGTTTGAATCCTCGTGTTGATTACTAGCTCCCGAGATCGTGACCTAGGACTCTTAGGGGAGGAAAAGGGCACTATTTCTCATTTTTGTTTATATTCTCTTTTATTTAGTTAAAAATTTGATTTTTATTTTTGCATCAACCTTCTTGCCAACCAATTTCAGCCTAATGTTTCCCATTCTTGTCTCAACCCCATTACAAGCCTAATGAGCTATGCTTACCAACCCTTTTAGTTAGTGAAGCATTTGGCTTGTGAGGCTAGCGTGAAGAGCGTCATGAATATGAGCATGAATCATTTATGGAATTGGTGTGAAAGCAGAGATTTGAAAAGTAAGCCTGAATATGGGCATGCAAGAAAAATTTGAGAAGAGCGATGCAAAATGTTAAAAAAAAAAAAAAAATAAAAAAACAATTAAATGAGAAAATTATTTATTTTGTATATACTTGAATAAGGGTGGTAATGCGATGAAATCGAAATGTTGGGAGACCGTTTGAGTTGTGGTTGTTTCTTGAGTTTTGTCCATGAGAATTGGCCACTCTCTTGCTTCACTTAGGATTTACCACCACTATTTCAAATGTTCTCCCTACCACTGTTACAACCCTAATAAAGACCCTTATACTTTAGGGGTGCGTGGTCAATAACCGGTGGAGGGAGATGGTTCTCAACCCTATGGAGAGAGCGTGCATAGTTGAGATATCGGGATGATCTTTTACCTCCTCAAAATGAATCTTTTTCCGATTCCTTCGTGGAATCATGAGGAGCCATCTAGGGGGACGATTTGAAACTAGTGGGGAGAACACGGACCGTTTTAGAGGGGACTAGGGCGGAGGACGACTCACTAGTTCTCTATGCTTGCTTGAGGCTTGACTCTTGCAATCTTTAGCATCTTAAGGCGTGCATGCATCATGTAATTGAGAATAGCTAATATTCTTTGACGTTTTTAACATGGTTAAGTCCGAATAAAGCAT